AAAAAAAAAAAAGAAATAATAAAAGTGTTTTATTTATTTATTTATTTTAGAGATGGGGTCTCACTATGTTGCCCAGGCTGCAGTGCAGTGGCTATTCACAGGTGCAATCCCACTACTGATCAGCACAGGAGTTTTGACCTACTCGGTTTCTGACCTGGGCTAGTTCACCCCTCCTTAGGCACCCTGGTGGTCCCCTGCTCCAGGGAGGTCACCATATTGATGCTGAACTTAGTGCGGACACCTGATCAGCATATCGCACTACAGCCCAGAACTCCTGGGCTCAAGTGATCCCCCAGCCTCAGCCTCCTGAGTAGCTGGGACTACAGGCACGTGCCACTGCACCGGGCAAGTGTTTTCAATAATAATGCATTTATTTGGATGACCTTGTTGGCTATCCTCTACTTGTGTGACTGTACCACTTAATTCCTCTTTCTAGAGTCTGCTCACATAACTCCTCTTCCAAGAAGCCCTCTTTGATTCCCAGGCTTGGTCAGGTGTCTCCTCTGGTATTCTCCAGGGGCTTCCTTCCTCTCAAGTCTTTTGCTGCCCGTTGCTAAGTATTTGTCTCCCTATCTGTCCTGAGAACCTTGAAGCCAGGGCCCGGGACTGTTATTTTTACATGGGCCTGTCACCTCCTCCAGGAAGCCCTCCTTGGCCCTTTCTCACGCTGGATGGTAAAGGTGTCTGGACTTCCATCATGCTCTGCCCCTCCAGCGTCCCAGCCTCTGATCCCTCAGCGTGGCTCTCCCCCATCACAGCTTTCATCACTTTGCACGAAGCTTCCGCTAGCCTGTTTGGTGACTCAGGGATCAGTCTGGCATGGCCACCGCTGGATCCCCAGCATTTAGCCCCCGAGCAGGAGTCCAGTGAACTCCGAATTCACGAAGGAATTCACAGGAAAGCAGAAGCGAGGCCGGCAGAAAACCACAGGCTTCCAAGAAACCCGTGTCTGCCGCCCCCTCCTCCCGCCCTGAGGCCAGTCCAAGAGCGAAGGCCCTCCTCGGACGTCGGGTCACCCAGCCCACGGACAGGGTGGCAGGTGCTCAGCGGGCCCGGCAAGGCTCTGTTTGGGGCGAGGCTCGCGCAAGCCCCGCCTCCTCCCCGGCGCCAGGGGCGGGCCCAGGTGCGCCCGGGTCGTGGGAGCGGCCGCGCAGGTGCCTGCCCTCTGCGCCTGCGCCCTGCACGCCCCGCCTCGCCAGGTGCGCCCCGCCTCCTGCCTGCTCAGCCACCTTCGGGAGCAGCTTCCAGGCGTCCGCCATTGGCTCTGGCGACCCCCGCACGTTGGGAGGTGTGGCGGGGCTCTGAACGCGCGGAGGGGCGTTGAGTGTCGCAGGCGGCGAAGGCGCGAGTGAGGAGCAGACCCAGGCATCGCGCGCGGAGAAGGTCGGGTGTCCCCTCACGGAACGTCCGGAAAGGCGGCTTCCGGGGGCTTCGGCACCTGACGGACCCTCCTCGGGCGCCTGCACCTGAAGGCGAGACGCTGCAGTGCGCGTGCGCGGCGAGGGGCTTCCGGCACCTGATCGCGAGACCCCAACGGCTGGCGCCTGGCGGCGTCGCCTGAGCGTCTCGGCGGAGCGGGCCATGGCGCAGCTGTGCGGGCCGAGGCGGGGCCGGGCGCTCCTTGCCCTGCTGGCATCGCTGCTCCTCTCCGAGGTCCTGGCGGCCGACGGAGAACGCGGCATCCACGGTGAGGGTCGGGGAGGGTGGTGGCGGGTCGCAGGGGGAAGGAGCGAGGGGGCCAACGGGGATCCGAGCAGGGAGAATTGGCGGGGGAGGAAACTAGGGGCGACTTGATGGAGTTCAGGGGGTGTGGTGGAGCCAGCCCTGGCAGATTGAGCCTTGAGATGAGGTTTGGGAGCTCTCGAGAGCGGAGACGGGCGGAGGAGCGAGGGTCAGGAGAGTTTCCTTCGGGTGAAGGAAGGTATTGACCAAGAAGGTGTGGCATTGGCCTTTCCTGTGGCAGGAAGGGGGTGACGAACTGAATTGAAGACCAGCCTCCTCCTGGCGGTGGAAAGTTCCATGGCCAAAGCCCAGGGAGAGGCCAGGCCTGAGAGGGTGGGGGTTGGATTGGGTGACCTGGTGGCCGTTTTAGACTCAGGGAAGACGCCCCCCTCACCCCTGCCTCTTTGGAGGTTGATCAAGAGCCTCCCCCAAAGCTTTTGTAGTTGAGTTGCAGCAAAGTAGGTGCCCGAGAAGGAGGGAGAAGAAAGGAAGTAAGTGTGGGGAAGAAGCCGCTCTGCTAAGGCGCGAGAGTGTTGGCATTGAGCAGCTGGGGTTGGGTTCTTTGAATTGGTCCTTAGAAGTCGGTGGCGGATAAGGTGATTTAAACCTCTACACTGTGAAGGAAGTGTGGCCTGAAAGGTCTCTTTGAACAAGTGTTGTTATAACCTTAACTGCTTCTGACAAGCACCAGCGGGTTTTGAAAAGAGCTCTCTTGAAAGAAGAATTCATTGATTCAGCAAAACTTACTGAGGCCCTGCTACGTGCCAGGGACTGGCGCCGGTGATAACAGTTAACTCAGACGAGCTGGGTTCCTGCATTCACAGAGCTACTATTCCAGTGGGAGAGGCAGAGCTAGGGAAGGTTTAGAGAGCACTTGCCATGAGATTAAGCTACTGAGAAGTAAATGAACGAGGCGAAGTACACCAACAGGGTGACATAAGTTGATGGGGCGGCTTTAGCAGAGGTGGTCAGGGGATGTCTCTCTGAGGAGGGTGACATCTGAGCTCTAACATGAAGAATCAGGAGGCAGTAGCCACACACAGACCTGGGGGACCAGTGTACAGTTAGAGACAATGGTGTACAAAGGCCTTGAGGCTGGAACAAGCCGGGTTGGGTTCAAGGAAAAGACAGAGCCAGCCTGGATAGAACAGGCGTGAGGGAGGGGACGACTGGAGGATGATGGGAGGTGGAAGAGATAGGCCAGAGCCAGGTGCCCTAAGGCTTTATAGACAGGTACTGGATGCGAAGAGAAAGCAGTCTGGATTCAGGACTAGACCTATTAAAAATCAAAAGGCCAAGGCCGGGTGCAGTGGCTCATGCCTGTAATCCCTGCACTTTGGGAGGCCAAGGTGGGCAAATCACCCGAGGTCAGGAGTTCGAGACCACCCTGGCTAACATGGTGAAACACCATCTCTACTAAAAATACAAAGAAGTGGCCGGGTGCGGTGGCTCAAGCCTGTAATCCCAGCACTTTGGGAGGCCGAGGTGGGTGGATCACGAGGTCAAGAGATCGAGACCATCCTGGTCAACATGGTGAAACCCCGTCTC